GGCGGCGGCTGCCCGGGCAGGGGTTTGCGGCGCTCAGGAGAGGCCCCGGCTCCGCCCCGGGCCTGCCCAGGGGGAAAGCGAAGCGGCCCGCAGCCGGGTCGGGTCGGGGCCCCTCCCGGGAGGAGCGTGGAGCGGCAGCGGCGGCAGGTGAGAGGCTGAGCCCCGGGCGGGGGAGGGCGCCAGGCCTGAGGCATTAACCGTCCCGGGGACCCCCTCGGCCTTGGGAGGCTACGGTCGAGGCTCACTTGGGGGCCGGCGCCGGGCCGCAGCTTCTTGGCGCTGAGGCGGAAGGGGCTCCCCGAGGGCTGCAGGTCGCCGAGGGGCCGGGCCGAACATGGGGGAGGCCCAAGCGGCCCCGGCCTGGGAGTGGGACCGGCGGCCGGCGGAGAGAAGGGGGCGCCCCAGCAGCTGGAGGCCCCGGCAGCCTCCCGGGCGCCCCCGACAGCTAGCCCGTCTTCCCTCCGTGACAGGTGGGCCTGGAGTTGGGGAAAGTTTGGAGGTGGCGAGGGGCGCCAGCGCCAGGCCCCATCGGTCCTGCTTCCCGGCTGTGGGCCACAGGGAGGATCCCGGTCCAGGGCCCGGCTGGAATGAAACGGAGAGGCTGTTTCCTTAACATGAGTTGACATTAAATGGAATAACCGCCGGAGCGTCATTTTCCGGGCCTGGCCTGCGGTTAGACCCTTGGGAAATGTTCAAGAGACCCTGGGGTTTGAGGGAGGCTGCAACCTCTGCCATTCTGGCCTCGACTAGGGCAGAACGAGATGAGGAAGGCCACTTAGGGGAAACTCACGCTTAATCTCCTTTTTATCTTTCTCTTTTCTTTCCTTTTTAAAAAAGATGCCTCTCTATACTTCCGAGAATGTCCTAATTCTCTCTAACCTGTGCTTGTGTGTGTGGGTGAAACTTTGTCACCTTTTCGTTCCCCTTTGCCCCAGGCCCTCAGTCCTGGAAGGGAAATGAAATTGAAGGACTTGTAGGGGTTGTTACTGGACATCGTGGAGTTGTTAGATTGCAGAGGAGAATGTTTGATTCATGTTGTCAGGGAACTTTTAAATCATGCCAGTCATGGCAGTAACATTCAATGTAGTGGTATACCTCTTTCCCACTTTTAATATTAAAGAGAGGGTTCCAGTGGGTCTTGCAAGAGTTGATCTCTTGCATGGAATGAACGTGTTTGCTGAAAGTAGACTGTGCATTAATTGGTCATGGAAGAAGTTTAAAAATGGTGTCCTCCTGCCCCTCCCTGCTTAGAAGGAGTGCTAAAGCAGATCTGTAGATTCTAGAGAAACCTGCTTTTGGGAGTGGTCAGAAGAATTTGTGAAGGAATGGTTATAGAGCTGTATTAAACCTGAGTGAACACAGGTTGATGATTTTACTGTGGGCTCCCTATTACATTTAAAATAATTAATTCCTTTTTTTTCATGAGCTGCTGTGAACCCTTCAGAGAATGGAGCTATATAATAGTGTTTTTTGGAGTTATTTGTAGCTTCTGATTCATGCTGTATTCTTTTGAAATTATTATTAATGATTCATATTTTTAGTTTGAGAACTAGTTCCTGTGTGTTTGTGAAAGAAAAATCAGAAAGTACTTCACTAAGTTCACAAGTTGATAGAAGGAATTTTCTTTTTGCAGGTTCCTTCTTATTTTGCTTTTCTCCTGTGTTCAACTTTTACAGAGATTATTTGAGGAGTTTGAGTTCTTTGGCTGTTAAAATCAAATCAACACTACAGAGAAATAAGTGGCCCTCATAGAATAAGACTTCTGAGTTGCTTTCTAATTTTAAATGTACTACCTGGTGTATTTGGTGCAACGTATTGTAGTTTATCACTTGTATGTTATATTTACTTGCATGTGACCATTCAGCTAAATACTTACTGTGAGTTTTGTCATATCTAAAAATTAGTGCCTCACTTTTTTAGTTTTCATGGTCTCACAGCCTACTTTTTCTTTTTCAGTAGAAATGATGGAAGAATTGCATAGCCTGGACCCACGACGGCAGGAATTATTGGAGGCCAGGTTTACTGGAGTTGGTGTTAGTAAGGTGAGTAAAGTGTTAATGAACGCTGTTCGTAGACTAAACATATTTTAAAAAATAATGAGGAACGGTTTGAGTAGATCATACTGAAAGTCAGATCACAGAGAAGAAGGTTTGACTCATGGTTCCACTGAACTTTGAAATCCTACCAGTTATTCCAGCAATCATTTAATAGTATGTTTGAAGGTGTTCTACATGGGAGTATATGCTTCTTTTTTACCTCTCACATAGGAAAGGTTTCCCATGGGTCCTTTTGCAAGGATACCAACAGGATGTCTGTCTAGAGTCTATGCCATATTTTATCGAAACTTCTCAGTCATTCTGAAAAAACTTTTAAGTATAAGGTGTCGTATAGCTTCTTTACACTGAACTTTTGGAATAGTTACATGGTAGAGTACTGAAAAATCTGCCTCTGCTAAGTCTTATCAGTTCTCCAGATCTATATTTCGGTAGATTCCTCCTGGTTGTACCCTCAGACTGCTTTCTGTCTCATCCTATTTTTCCTTCTTGTTCACGGTTTTTATTTTTGACATGTAGTGTATGAAATAAGAGCAAGCCCTCATTAATGGGCATGTGTTACTGTCGAGCAGTGTTACAGCTTCTTGTCAATCCTTATCTACCTGCTACTTCACCCTTCTGCTCATAGCATGATTTTAATATAAGATGTAAAAAACCTTTATGATTTTGATGCAGTATGTAAAACATATCTCTGATGATGTTTTATTCAGCAGCCTCACCAGTCCAAGATTGTTGCATTACATGGGCTTGAGATGTGTGAATTTTTGATCTTTGATTTCACGTGGTATATTTCTTCCTGTGTTTTTTAAGAAATCCTGTTTCTCATAGTCGGTAATAGGGATCACTGTCTTTGGGCTTGCCATCATCATAACTTACTTGTGGACCACAGCTTGAGAGTTATCTCATGAAAACAAACCTAGATGTTAGTCTCATACGTTAGTAGCTTCTTAAAGGAGAAGGTGTTTGTCAAGGTTTAGTTGGAAAAATCAGCCTCTTTGGTGGGTCTCATAATTTTGGTGAGCTTGGTAGTTTTTGTTCGTTTAACAAATACTGAGTGCCTACTGCATGCTAGGCATTGTGCAGGATGTTAGGAATGACACTTAGCACAGTGTCTCCAAGCTGAAAGTATGGAGAGAGAGAGGAGACAGACTGTGATGAGAGCTATCAGAGCGGTGTCAAGGTGCTGTGGGAACACAGGATTTGTTACATATTTTGTACTTCTTGATTTCTTCGGCCACTTAAAATAACTGACTTGTAGTACTCTGGAATGGGTATATACTTGAGTATTGTTATATATTGAAGCTACATATATTAATGTAAATTTTCTGATGTGAAGCAGCTTCAACTAGAAATGAGCGGTGTATTTGAGTATTAAATTCATCTCTGGTTCAGTTGATTACTTAATAATGACCTTTGATGTGTCTTTTAACTTGGGAATTCAGCATAAGGCTCATCTCCAATCTGTCTGTTCAAATAAATGGCCACCTATTGAGCCCTGGTGGCGCAGTGGTTAAGCGTTTGGCTGTTAACCAAAAGGTCAGCAGTTCGAATCCACGAGCCTCTCCTTGGATACCCTATGGGGCAGTTCTACTCTATCCTATAGGGTTGCTGTGAGTTAGAATTGACTCAGCGGCAGTGGGTTTTTTTTTTTTTAAAGTTGAGTAAAAGAAAGTTTCTGTTTAAATTGTATGTGATTTAAACTCATTGGGCTTTGTGGTTAGGGTGTTTTTATTTTGCTTTGTTTTTAGGTTCATGATGGTTATATCCAAGTGTACTTTTGATGGAATAGGGTGTCAGTGATGGGAATGAGTGACATTCTCGATTTTGTTGCCAGGTCCAACTTCGAATCATGTAACTAAGGTGCCAGCAAACTTTAATGCAGTAACCTATCTGTTTAATAGGAAGTTCTGTTTTAGTATCTGTACAGAGAAAGCAGTTTGTTTATATCCAATTGTTTTTAATGCCAGTAGTTGTATATTATTTTGATGTTTTCATCATGGTAAGTGTATTGATTACAATAAATATGTTTTTCAGGGACTAGCAAGAGAATTTTTTTCCCCATAGCAAAGAAACTTGAAAAATGTGAGTAAATTATTCCATTGTTGCATAGTTAGGAAGAGGAAAAGAAAATCTCTCCATTTTGTATAACTTCTCTTAACCTGTAAGACATTATATCTCTACGACCATTGATTTGAAATGGGGGTGAGGAGGGGGCGATGGTACTGGGAGAAAAGGGTACTTTTGGAAAAACTTCTCCTCCTAACTTTGAATTCTTCGTTATGGGTCATAATTTTCCAGTGAGGATGTCAGTGTGTTGATGGTAGATTTCAGTTCTGCAAAGATTGAGAGAGTGTCAGTCCTTGCTATTCCAAATGGGAGAGCAGGGTGACTCTCCCGTGATAGTGCCATCTAGTGGGACTGGTGCAGCCTCATGGGCTGTCTCTTTCTCCTAACTATTCATAAAATTTCCAGTACTTTTTGATGTCCATAGAAGGAAGAAAGTCAGTGCCACTGTGGATGCTCTCCTAGTGGACAAGAGTGTTATAAGTAGCTGCAGTCTTCGAACTTTCTGGTTATTGTAGATCTTCTGTCATATTGCTTTCAAGTTTTTTACACCTGCAAATTAGAAATAATCATAAAACTTAGACTAAAACAAAATGGCCTATATTTAAGTTGTCCATTACTTAGATTTTTTTATTTGTAGATTTTTTATTTTCTTGCATATTGCATTTATATGCATTCAGCTTTTCTATTAGCATATTTAATTCGTAATCACAGTGATCCAACAGTTCTTTGTTCGGGCTTTGGGATGCACTATGCGTTTTTGTTTTCTGTCATTTGTGAGTTGATGATGTGGGGAAGTGGCCTCGTGCACTCAGAAGTTTATAGTGGACTCCCCTACTCTAGCCTCACTGCCACTTAGACTCTATGGTAGTGGGTTTGGGTTTTTTTTTTTTTTGAGTAATCACTCTCTTAGCATTTTTGAAGTGATAAGGTTAAATTAAGGAGCCATGGTGGTGCAGTGGTTAAGCGTGCAGCTGCTAAGCAAAAGGCTGGCAGTTCAAACCCACCAGCCGCTCTATGGGAATAAGATGTGGCAGTCTGCTTCCATAAAGATTTGCAGCCTTGGAAACCCTAGGGGGCAGTTCTACTCTGTCCTATAGGGTCACTATGAGTTTTGGTTTTGGTAAGGTTAAATTGGTTTGTGAACTTGCGTCTTTGTTTCCTGTTGACCTGACATGTGAGCTATCCTACTTTGTTTTTAACAATCTCTTCTTTTAAGCACTGGATAATCCACTTCTAGTAAAGTGAAACTGACTGTAGCCTGTATTCGTAGGTTTTCATTGAGGACGTGTTGCAGTTTATATTCTCTACTCTGCTCCCTTTTGGCAATTTAAGTGAAGGTAGTCTCTGTGATTCTGGATACCATGTGGAAAGTAGGTGGAATTCATGCAGCCTTGAATATTAATAGTATCAAATACTTATTTAGTACTTACTGTGTTCCAGGTAGTGTTCTACATGCTTTAATATGATAAAAACAATAAGAAATGATAACAGGGACACTACTCTTAACAGACCTCTGCTTGATCAACTCATTAGACTCATGTACATTCTCCATTCTCTTTTTCTAAGACTGATGCCCACTGGGCTGCTCTACTGATTGAGTTATAGACCTACCAAGGATCAGTTTATGACCACTTGGACTTCTTATTGAAATCACAAAATTTAATACAAAATTGCATAAAGCAATGATACAAGATTGGAAAATCAAAGAATTGTTGTTTCTATGAAAACTTGGAAACCCTGGTGGCATAGTGGTTAAGAGCTAAGACTGCTAACCAAAAGGCCTGCAGTTCGAATCCACCAGGTGCTCCTTGGTGGGGCAGTTCTACTCTGAAAACTAAGTTAACTGCCGTGAAAAGACTAAATATAAGGTTACTAAGGAGACATTTGTAAAAATTTATTTTTAAATCAGGAGGAATTCTTCCTTTAGATCCTTGCCAAGTATCTTTTAAGTTCTCACTTCACTGTTAGAGAAAGAATTTGTAGATGATGCATTATGGCTGTGGTTGGTGTAAGATAGTATGGAACTACAGGCATTGGATCTATAATTCAAAAGACCTTAACTCCTTTCTCAAAAGACTTGCAAAAGAATATGTATGTATGTGTTTTAAGTTCGTAGAAAAGATGTCATTTTTTATATTCCCCACCCTAACCTAGTTTTTTGATTAATGGTCTAGTCATTGGTTTCAGTTTTATTGAATAAAAAGGATTATGCAGTTTATGGCATTGAACTAATAAAAGAGAAAAATGAGAAGCTACAGAAGTGGGACTGTTTATTTTGGCACAATAAGAATCTCCACTTTATAGATCCTGAAGCAAAGATGATAAATTTTTAGAAATCACATAGTCTTTAGTACCACACAGTAGATGTCTGATATTTTCTTAAAGAAAAATGGTGTTTTTCTAACTTTTATAAATTTGTAAGTCTGTTACGTAGTCATCTTAAATGATCAAATTTGACTTCTGAAAATATACCTCTGATACCTTTCTCTCCTGTCATGTAGTTAATTGCATCAGTTAGAAGATTTCAGTTATGAATAACAGCTAACAGTGTTAGTTGTTTCACATATGAATGCCCTTTACTTTTTTTTTTAATTGTATTTTAGGTGAAAACTTTACAGAGCAAATTAGTTTCTCATTAAGCAATTAATATACATATTGTTTGGTGACATTGGTTGCCAACCCTGCGATGTGTCAACACTGTCTCCTTCTCTACCTTGAGTTCCCCATTTCCATTTGTCCAGCTTTCCTGTCCCCTCATGCCTTCTCGTCCTTGCCCCTGGGTTGGTGTGCCCATTTTGTCTCGTATGCATGGTTGAACTACATGTGTTATTGTTTGTTTTATAGGTCTGTCTGATCTTTGGCTGAAGGGTGAACCTCAGGAGTGACTTCAGTACTGAGTTAAAAGGGTGTCCAGGGAGCAT